AGCAAGCAAGCCTCATGTTCACTTCAAGCTGCTGGCCACCGGCCGCCATCTTGGCTGACAGTTAATTTGCATATCACCCTGATTAGCCAATGGGAAGGGTAGCAGATGTACGGCTAATTACCATGTTTCTCTTTTATTAGATAGGATTGTGGCACCTGTTTTATATGAGATTTCTAAGCCAAGCTAACTCTTAAACTTACCGGTCTTATTTCTTGCACTTGAGCTATCATTTGTGGTGTGTCCAGAGAATAATTCTTGGATGGCTGTGTAAACTGCCATGAAGACTACTCACTCCCATGGAGGAGAAACTTTTAATGATGATGCTGGGTTGGTGAGCTGTCTCCTGTGTTTACTTTTGAGTAAATAGGTGACAAATGTGACCTATTCTTGTATTTATGAATCCAAATGAGTCTAGTTTCCTTTGATAGGCATCAGAGATCCATCACTTACCTCACAACTATTCACTTTGTGAGGCTCCCAACACTCAAGATCTTTGAGGTTAAGACCATGTCTTTTTCATTTAGTAAAGTTGTTGTGGTATTGCTATGTAATCTGGATGAACAACTTGAAAAATCTGAACCTATTTTTTCACCATTAATAGAGGAATAATTTTTCCTACCTCAGAGGGTTGCTGTGATGATTTAATATGTAAAAATGTTTCCTAACTAGTAAATGCCATGCCTAAGTGGTAATGCCATTATCATTATGCTAATATATAAATTAATATTTCTTGTAAAGTACCTCTACAAATATAGTAATATTTATTTTTAAACAGTTCATATATCAATCCCAATTTTCATTCCAATCTTCAAAAATTAGCTATCTGATAAGCAGAGATGCGGAATCTTTTTTCTACCAAGGGCCATTTGGATATTTATAACATCATTTGAGAGCTACACAAAGTTATCAACTTAAAAATTAGCCTGCTATATTTGGTCAAACATTTAATTAACCCACCCTTAATGCCTTGGTAGGGCCAGACCAAATTATTTTGAGGGCCTTATATGGCCCACAGGCTGTACATTCTCCACCTGTAATAAAGGATGTGCCACACTCATATGAAGCTGGCGTCATACTAACAACTGCCCTGCTCTTTTTCCTCCAAACCAAAGTCTGGTCTGCTTTTAAGACAACAAAAAATTGTCTGCTCATCACTTGGTGACAGTAAACAGTTCACCACCATTTCCATCCAAACACAGGAGTAAGATATATAACTTATCCAAACAGTGCCTAAGGCATTTAGTGAATTGCTGAAATATTTTAAGCCACAGAACTGCAAGTGAAGTGAGATAGTTAAAATTTCTCTTTTATATTCCAGAAACCTCTTAGAATTCAGGGGTGGGCAAACTTTTTGACTTGGGGGCCACAATGGGTTCTTAAACTGGACCGGAGGGCTGGAACAAAAGCATGGATGGAGTGTTTGTGTGAACTAATATAAACTCAAAGTAAACATCATTACATAAAAGGGTAGGGTCTTTTTTTTTTTTTAGTTTTATTCATTTCAAACGGGCCGGATTCGGCCCGTGGGCCGTAGTTTGCCCACGGCTGTCTTAGATCAAATGCTAATAGTATTGCCAGTAAATATTACAGAAATTTCCAGGCATGTAAAACCAGGTGAAATAGAGAACCAGGAACTTTTTAATTTGTCTGGTAGGTTTCACCTTTATGTAGTAGTATAAAATATCACTTTATAAACAGAAATCAAACCTGTTTTATCTGTGGTTGGGGAAAGGCCACACAATCAATACTCCGACTCCCTGACATGAGAACAGTGGTTGTAGCTTGGCCAGACCACTAAGTTTCATCAGACTTTACCTTCACAATGAAAAAGCTACTTATCCTCTTCTGTGTAATTCTAGATAGTTAAATTTGTATTTCTCCATATTTATTCCAATCCTATTCTACCTTAAGCCTTATAAAGTATGACTCAAAATAATGCATCCTTCCTTTGTGCTCTCATCACCCAATATCTAGGACCCATATATTTTCTCACATTCTACAGTAAATTTTATTTTCCTCTGTTAAGTCCAATACAGAAACTGTATTCTATCTAAAAATCAAGGGATTCCATTCTTTTCAGATGTGCTCAGAATGTTTTTGAAAAAAAACTAAAACTAAAAAACTCACTTGGCCTATCCTAATCTACTGTTAGAGAAATAAAACTATATTAATAGGATAGGCCAAGTGAGAAGTAGGACAATCTGATTTACTTTTGGATTTTTTTTTCCTGTGAAAATATCTTAGCTTTAAAATTTCGCTGGTTCAGCCCAGCTGGTGTGGTTCACTGTCAACCCATGAACCAGGAGGCCACAGTTTGATTCCCAGTTAGAACACATGCCTGGGTTGTGAGCTCGAACCACAGTGTGAGGTATACAGGAGGCAGATCATCAATGATTCTCTCTCATCATTGATGTTTCTGTCTCCCTCTCCCCTCCTCTCTGAAATTAATTAAAAACACATATATTTAAAAATATTGGCTGGTTCACATGAAATAACTACAGCTATAATTTTGGTAAGGCACCCTAATTTTAATAATCCTTTGATACAGTGATGACATTGATAGAACAATTACTCTGTAGAAAAAGTGAGCACATATAAATACTAACTTAGAACCTGGCCCTAATGTAGAAATGGGTTTGGGGACAAGGAGAATATAGGGGCACTCATGAAGACTGCAAAAACCCTGCCAAACTCATAGTGCATAAAGATATTATTGGCTATCAGTCATAATAACAGAATCAGGAAATGTCCACATACTTGATGATTGGAGGTACAATATACTGTATGTTCAAGTCAAATGTGACCACATTCTACATTAAAAGCAAGATTATCTTGTATTTTTCTGTGGTCTTTCCCTTACCCTTATACTGCCATACAAGAGTGCCATTCAAATGCTGAAGGCTATGAGAAGGGCACAAGGACTTCCCACTGAGAGTACATAACCAAAGCTAAGGAACTAACCGGCTTGCTGCTACAGAGAAGCCATGTCACCAGAAAGTCTTTCATAATGTTTGCATCCACAGTAAGTGCAAACCTTGAATCTACAAATGAGACTCACAAGGCCAGAAAAGGCTTGTTAGCGTTACATAAATCACATCAAAGTTCAACTTCAAATTCTGTAGCAGTCTATTGGTTTTGACACTAATGCTTTGCAAGAAAATTCAATGTTCATGTTTAGAGACCAAAAAATGTAGAAAAATAAAAAATAAATAAAATAAAAAGCAACCAGGGGAAAAATATAACTAAAGAACATTTATTTGTTTTTCACTAAGACTTTATCTTAGCACATAATTAAACTGTCACTATCCCCCACCCCAACTTGAAGAAGGGTTAGTACAGTGAATGTTATAAAGCAGATATGAAGGATTGGAATCAACATTAACTGACAAAGAAAAACTTCTTAGTTAAGTCATCATAACAATGTTTAAGTAAAAAAAGAGAAAAAAGGGGGGTGATGGGAGTTCAGATTGAACAAGATCCTCACATATCATCTAACACATTCAATCCTGGCTAGAGTGTACCAAAATGGAAACAGGATTACTATAATACAAAACGTCACTACAGACAGCTGTACACACCTGTGTTCCAAGCCCACCCTCAACCCCCGAATGCTTCCAACACAACTATTTCCCGGCCTGTTGGGCCTGTCGACGAAGGAGCACGTAGATCTTCTCTTTAATCCAATCTTTGTTATAAGGCTGGTAAGTCTGGGTATCAGCTCGGTAACTGAGGAACAGAAAAGTAATAAACAATTATTGTCGTGTGTTTTTGTGGGTTTTTTTTAAACTTCAAATTATAACTACCCAATGCTGGCACAGATACACACATGGTCATACATGAACTTAATGAAAATATGAAAGGGCACTGGTGTGTCTCAGTGGATAGAGCATCAGCCTGTGGACTGAAGGGTCCCAGGTTCGATTCTAGTCAAGGGCACACGCCTGGGTTATGGGCTCGATTCCCAGTAGGGGGCATGAGGGAGGCAGCTGATCAATGGAGGCAGCCGATCAATGATTCTCTCTCATCATTGATGTTTCTCTCTCTCTCTCCCTCTCCCTTCCTCTCTGAAATGAATAATATATTTTTGAAAAATGTAAAAGAGCTGATTACACGTTGAATTTTTAAGCTATGTGTACCATCTGGTAGAAACACTGCATGGCATCTAAGAGATGCAAAGGTGCAGTTTGCCTAAAAAAAAAGTGGGGGGTGGGGACCCTAGGACAGCGATTTTCAACTATATGCCCCAACAATTTTTAGAACATGCAATACCTGATTGGCCTCTTTTCCCTTATATCTTCTTATCTAATAAAGCAGGAATATGCAAATTGACTGTCACACCATAATGGTCAAGATGGCTGCACCCACAGCGGAGGCAGGGATTCTGTAACACAAGATGGCTGAGCTCATAGTGGAGGCCAAGTTCCCATAATGAGCAATCAGCAGGGACTTGAGGCTGCATGGTGCTGGGCCGGGGACCTGAGGCTGCACCCCCTGCCCAGTGGGGCTTGACAGCAGACCTGAGGCTGCATCCCCAACCCAGTGGGGTTGATGGGGGACCTGAGGCTGCACCTCCCGCCCAGTGGGACTTGACGGGTCTGGATCTTTTTCCCAATGGGGTTGGGGCCTGCCAGGTCTGGGTCTCCCGCTATTTCGAGGCATGTGCAGTTGGGTGGGGACTTGACTCTGGGTCCTGCAGTGTGCCCCAGACTCTGATAGGAGGAAGGTTTTCATATACATTTTACTAATTTTCTTTCATATCTGACACTTATAGAGAAAAGGTAAATAGCAATATTAAAATATTTCCTCTAATTCAGTGGTCCTCAACCTTCTGGCCCGTTAAATGCAGTTCCTCGTTGAAACCAGTTTGGCTCAGTGGATAGAGCGTCGGCCTGCGGACTGAAAGGTTCCAGGTTCGATT